GCGTACGCTTGTTTGCCTTTGAGACTAAAGTAATCGAAAATTTATTAAAAACCGTGTACAATATTTAAATCATGTTAAAGAAACGATTCCCTTAACGTTTTATTCTCTCGCTCTCGCACGTACACTTTTGCCCAGATACAAATCTTTAATCAGATTCGATTTTTTGAGAATCAACCGTGTTTTCAACTTTAAAACGCCTAAATTATTTATTTTCTAATTTATCATCGGCAATAAAAATGACAAAGTTTTATTTTCCGCTACGTTGAAAAATGATCGCTTAAAAAAATGCGCACGACACATGTTTTCTCGTCCAATAAATTGGCGATGCGCCAACACGATTAATGTTTGATTCAACATTAAAGTAACCGAAAAAAAATGGGAAAAACTAAAATTCAACTTCCAAATGAATTTAAGCGATTTGCCAACATTTTCATATTATGAAATGTACATGCTGCGAGATTCCTTTATGCTCTATCTCTTTTTCTCGTTATATTGCCATAAAATTTAAAACGACAAATTAATTTAATTGATTCGAAACCAACTATTAACTATCCGATGAAATGTAAGACATTTAATTAAAAACTGGCCAACGCTCTAGCTCTCTCTCCCGCCCCCATCTCTTATTCATGTGAATTCGTTTACATGCGTTTAAAAATGTATTATCGAACAATTAACCTGGCATCTGAACTTTCTGCCGGCAGAAAAAAAAAGACCTTCACAAATTTATTGGATAATTACACGCATCCGAAAAAGGACTCTTGTAACTATCTCAGTCTCTCGTTCCCTCGTCCTATTCATCTTGAATTACTGAATTTATTGATGCATTCAAAAATGTTAGTTGCCGAATTTTCTTTCATTCAAATAACGAACGATGTTCATTAAAAACGAAATAACTCGTCGAATTGCAAAAGTCTGTTGTTTTATGTGAAAATGGAAATTCAAATAGATAAATTTAATGAACGATGGCCGAAAAAGAATGCATGCACACACACACATAGCATAAATGGATTTGACCGACAATATACATATTTCTTTGTTGGTCCTTTTTTCGATATTTTATAGAAAATGTGTGGTGTGTAATTCAAACTATATATGCCATGCTCTCTACGAATCACAAATGTGAGCACACAAGAATTTTGGTATAATTGGTGAAGAGCGTGGGCATTGCACACTGGAGATGGGTAGACGAATAATTTTGTAACATTAGAATTTTCCGAAATTCACCTCATCGTTTGCTCCGTTCTTCGGATTGTCGGTTTTGGCGTCATTGAGAGCGATGGTAGTTTTGGTAGTTTTAGAGATGGGCCGATGGGGAAGAGAGCGGGAGAGCAAATGTTTCACTTGACCGACGACACATCTATTTACAGTGCTCAATGAGGCTCACGTAAACTGCAGTCGCTCCTTTGAAAATGGGTAAAAACCCTATTTTTAAGCGATAACTACATTATGCTGGTTGAACACATAACATTTGCTATCTAATCTTCGAATTTCAAGCACCTCCAGACCCCTTTCTCACACTGAGAATGATGTACGCCCCATTCGTTATCTCATCCGTTCATTATGGCTTTCGGCTGGCAAATCCATACTTCATTCAAATCATTTCGGCCCGTTGCCGTTCAAATCTATTATCGTTGAACAATGTCCACCATTAAGTGTGTGTTCATTTCTATTTTTGTGAATAAACTTTGTATTTTTTGATAAAAAAAAAAAAAAACAAATAACTTTACCACAGAGATATTTTTACGAATAAAATCTTCATTCGAATGCCGAACAAGCACACTTACTCATTCGACGAAACAATCTAAATTGTATTTAACAAAATTCGGAAAATTTTCTTGAATATTAAATTGTTGAAATAAATATACAATTTTTGCATGAGCATTTAAAGAGAAAGATGCTTCATCGCCTGGAAGTCCGGTACTCAACGTATTTCTGACACAACATTAAAATGGAATAAATTCAGTATTATATAATATGCGGAGAGAAAATCGATTTTTTTTGCTATTGTTGTTGTTGGAACGGGGCGGTGAATGAAAACAAAATATGTTTATGATGCTGGAACGGTCATTCTTTTTCGGTCCCGACTAAACAGGTTTTCGTTTAGTTTTCTTTAACAACCAATTTGGCAAAAAACTAAACCATTTTCGAAAATTCATTCGTTTGACCTTTTGATCCTTTATTGTATTAGATAACTGTAAATGTGGCACTCTTTGGCTCATTTTCTCCCTCTCTATCTCTTTCAATTTACAATCTATTTCGTGTGTATTTTTTAATTGAAGCCTTAATTTGCCATCATATCGTAGGTTTTAACCCTTTTTTCCTTTGAAGTAACGCCATTAGTTAAACTATTGGATCAGGAAATTGCGTATATGCTTATAAAAAAATTACGAACATAATGAAACACCATCGTTTGTTTCGCTTGAGGCATTTACCATTGAAAACATGGTTCCGTAATAGAAAATTCCCATTTAATTAGCGCGTATTCCATTAACCTAAACATTGACCCGCATTCTTCGAGCTCACTCTTTCCTACGACCGTGTCTCTTTTTTTGTAATTAATTTTCTTTGAAGTTGTGAATCAATCCGATTAAAATTCAGTTTGAAATTTTGTCGACCACGAAATATCAAGGAAAAATGCCAGAAATATTTTCGCCCATTTCGGAAATCCATATCGAGTTTTGTAAATACAAAAAAAATAGCTGCATATTTAAACTGTCATAATACGTTGTGTTTCGTTTCCTGTTTTTTGTTTTTCACTTTGTCCTCGGCCGGTTTTTTTTCCAAATGCGATATTCGATTTTGAAGCCAAGTGCATTAGAATGACGGTGTGGCCGGAGAAGATTCTACACTCATAATTCTTGTTTGCATACACGCTAAATCGCGTCCTCATCGCATAAATCCGTTGTGTTGAACTAAATGAATCAATTGAAAAGTTCAATCGTTGCAGGCACCGAATACGTGGGGGGATTGGAATCGAATCAACTAAACAAATCGGTGGTAAAATACACAGTTTAGTCGACAGGCATTTGAATGCATTTGGGAAAAGTATGACATTGCTGTTGTTGCCACTCGGTACCTTCGTTGTCATCGAATGAATGACAAAAAGTGCATTTACACGATTTGCAACGACGTGAAGGTAAATAAAGTCGGACATTTTTTCGTTGTTCTATTCATTCGATATGGAATCGGCTGTAAAACTTGCACGGAGTCAGAGTGCAGGCATTCAATGCACCGTTCGATCGACCGCATACATACTCAGGAAATTAATAATCGGATCACATCACAAGGTTAACGTTTGTTCGAGCTCAGAAGAGAGTTTTTTTTTTCACAAGTTGCCCATTTCGAAAGGATATCTGAGTCTGAGTGAATTTCAAATTGTTTTGTGCGGCGAATAAAAAAAAGTATATGAAAGAACCATCGACATTCGCTGATAACAGACAAACAGTCGCAAAAAAAAATTATGAACTCGATGAAATGGATTTTTCATTTGTCAAGTGGTAGCACACGACTTGCGATGAGAAAGGCCGCACGGGATTGAATGCGTCTATTGAAAGATATGAGTTGAAAATCTAATGAATACCAAGCGATGGATTATTTTTTTTTTGTTTGTAGAAAAAAATTCACTTTTTTCAATAGATTCGAATCACGATGATTGACAAATCAGTGACCACTTCTCGATAGGAATACAGAATATGGTGGCTATGAACCGGTGCGATATTGAATACGAATTGCCAATTCACTAATCTCAATCTACTTGATGCGAATGACGAAAAAAAAAAACAGTGCACCGACAAAGTAATTGTAGAGAGAGTCTAAAAGCAAATGTGCACTTCATCCGAAATGTACTGTACTGTAGTAGATTTGAATGTAATTTTCGTTCTCGGTGAGTTCATTGAGTGAGCGCTGAGATTCAAAAGGATTATAAATCCGATAGATAGATAGACGCGGACCAATTATTTTTATATGAATTCATAAAAGAAAACCCCGGCGTATGGTTGACTGATCCCGATAATAACGTTATTGAACGCGAACACAACACAGCCAAAATAGCAGTTGAACAAAAAAAGTGAATCGAACACAGAAAAAAAGACACAGAACTATGAGCATGAGTATGAATCGGAAATCCGTTCTATGAAAATTATTGTGGTTGCAAGCACAAAGTGTGAAAGAGAGAGAGAGAGAGAGAGAGAGCAAGCAAGCAAGAATGTACAAGATGCAATGCAAGAAATAAGTGGTGGAACCAAAATCATTGTCATAAATGTGTGTGTTGTTAGGTGTTGATCGGGCTCTTAATTCCGATTGACAATGTTCGGATGACAATAATGTGGCCGAATAAATAGTCGCATTGAGTGCATTAAGAATAGTTCCAATAATTTGACTTCGAAAACTTCACGCCATTATGATTATTTATATTCACGGTTGGTTGCAAACGCATTCCGGCATACAAACGGGGAACATACAATGGCAATCCGAATGAGAGAATTATGTGAGAGAAAATTTTCGACATCAAATAAAACCAATTTTTAATTTCATTTCATAAAACTCGTTATTATTTCTATCTCTCACGATTTTTTTTTTGTTTGCTGTCTGTATAGTGGCATGGAATCATATATGAAAAAGTTGGCAACACACAGTGTCAACAGAGACCGATTAAACTTATATTCACATATTAGAATTTAGCGAACTTTGAAAACAAAAAAAGGTGATTAGCAAACTGTCTAAATGCGACGATTTATTCCCAAACATTTTCATAATAGCTAACCCCCCGGAAAAAAACGTGTGTACGAGACCAAATGAAAAATTTGTCATAATCTCACAATTCGAACATTATTGTGTCATCGGAAAAATATTGTTTTCGAAAAGAAAAATCGAAAAAAGGAACTAAACTGTCACGTTGTTCTTTTTTTTTGTTGTCTAATGGATTTAATGCGAATGAAATATATATTTGAGCGAGAAAAAAAAAACAAAATACAAGTAGATATAGAATGAGTTGCACTTACCTTTTTTGGGAATCAATGATTTCAGCAATAGAACGGCATTATCATCGCATGCCCAGGCATGCATTTTTCGATAGCTGTCACGTCCTTTTTCAGTGAGTTTATCCCATGGCTTTGGTTTTGATAGTAGTTCAGAGACGGTGCCTTGTGACAATCCAAGCACATATTTGGCAAATAGACGTTGCCCAATATTGTGTACGGACAACAATTCCCGTACACGTCGCGATATATGCAATGTATCGAGATTTTGATTTGCATATTTGTCCATATTATAGCGAAGCATTTCTTGTAATTTGGCCTCCATTGGATCGCTTTTTGGTATAAGTGAGTCGCCGAGGCGGCTAGTCATTGAACCGGATGTCATTTGTAATTCGTCGGCGAAGCGAAAATGTGGACGTTCTTGCATTTGATGATGGAACGGTAAACCAAGTGGAAAACTTGGTCCATGCGGCAATGCACCCAAATGATTATTATTATCTTCTTGTGGACTTTTTGATATTGGCAATGACATCGGCGTTAAACCACCATTTTGATTATCATCGTAACGTGAATCCTGTAGAATTGGTGTGCTTGCTGTTGACGATGCATCATGATGGCTACTTTTGTCATCCTGTCGATTTCCATGATCATCTAAAGAATTTGAAAGCGAATTAGTTTTTGTGTGGTTGTCCATGGGTTTGGCATTTTGGCTGATGCTATTGTTATGTGATTGTGGTTGTTGTTGCTGTTGATGTTGTTGTTGTTGCGTTAAACGATGCGTTTCATTAGCCGAATTAAGATAGTTGGATTGCATTGTAGCTGCCGCTGCTGCTGCTGCAGCCGCAGCCGCTGGATGCATTTGTGCAACAGACGGCGGAAGCTCAAAACCTCTACGCCAATTGCAGACAATTTCTTCGCCAAGAAACGATCCAAATGTTTCGACATTATGCAAAGCTGATGTTGGTAATATCGAAGCTCCGGCAGCCGCCGCCGCCAATATCATATCATTGCTATTACGACCGACCGTCGCCAATGCATTGGCGCTTTTTGCATTTGTCATTGATGTCGATACTACTGATGTGACAGTTGACGGTGGGGATGCATGATTTTCTTGTGGAATGGTTACAGCTGAATATGCGCCTGTAACACACATAATTCAAGTGGACAGGAATTTAAAAGATTTTTTTTTCGGTTTTAAATTGTGGTGATACAAAATGGTATATTTTATAGAATTGTTGTTGTTGTTATTATTATTAAAAGAAACCGAAAACGAAAAAAAACTGTTATGAAATTGTTACAAAACACCACGTCCAATTATACTTGAAATTTGGATTGAATATTACAGTTAATTCAAGTATAAAATGAGAAGAGAGAAAAAAATATTAAATCATGTCCAAATGAATTGAAATCTACACAACATGCAATATACATGTCTTTATCTCAATAAAATTGTGTGAAACGAGCGAGAGATAGAAAGATGGAGACAGAGACAGAGAGCAAGAGAAATAAAAATCAAAGTGGGAAATAATGTGAACAAATTAAAAATAAAATCATTGCAATCATGATATGTCTCAAAATTACATGAGTGCATGGAAGAAACAAAACTATGGATTGTGAAACGAAGCAAAAACGATAATAATTATTAATAAATTAATTGCGAAAACAATTGATTCAATGTTATGTGTCTTAATTCCGTTCATTTTTTATCATTCTTGAACACAACCATTGGATATTGGGTTTTCATTTGTCGAACGGTGCATGTCATTGTTTACATAGTACGCTTTTTATTCTATCTCTATCTCACTCTATCTCATTTTTGTTTTGTTTTTCTGATTAATGCCATAGAATTGAATAAATAGTAATGAAAATCATGCATCATTCTTCGTGTACATCTGACAACCGATTTCTTCATATCATCATTGCAAACAAATCTGTATCATGCAAGCAAAAAATGGTTAGTGGTTGTTTTCAGTGTTTGTGTGTGTGTGTCTGTGAGCACGATTACAACATGATTGAATTTTGAAATGAAGAAAACAAAAAAAAAACCATATAATAAGTGTATGGGAAAAATTACACGACCGTCGACGGTAAAACAATGGATTAAATGGTTCAAGGGCGATAAATTCAAAGTGATTTGAAGAAAAATAAAAATAAAACAGTAACAACAACAAATCGAAGCAAGAACGAATATTTGTTTGTATTATATGCCTATTTTGGCATCGAGATCACAAACCAACTACTGTAACTGAATGGTGGGAAATTAATCGATAAAATGTGTTAGAATTAAAGTCAGCCAAAGGTTTTTTTATTCATTTAGTTACCACATCACGTCAGCAATGGATCGTTCCATCTCTTTCTCTCATTCACTCTCTTACGCATTTGGCTTTACCATACCTATATTTCTTTATGGCATTCCATTTGATTTGTACGGCAATTAAAGCCAATGGGAAACGCTTTTTCTCTTTCTCTCTCTCGTCTACTTTGCTAAAGCCGTTGAGCTGCACGCAAAATATCTCCATATTGTGTGTGTAATTTTCATTCTAAATGAATGAATGGAAATCGTCATTCGAAAAATGAATTACTACACCACATTAAATGCACATTCGGCAAGAAGTTTTGTTCGAGTTCAAAAGTTTTTTTTTTCTTCATACCTTTGCGTATAAATATCTTATGAATATTTGCGCTTTGCTGCTGCTGTGTGTATCGAATATACCGTTGTTGCGTTGAATAAAATATCGTGCAAATGTAAAATGTTTTTCGGTGCGTTTTGCCGTGTATAGAAATGAATGTTGGTCGCGGTGCAACCAATCTTTTTCTCTATCTGTTCAAAGGGCGAAGTGCGCACTACTTCGGTCCAAAGAACCGGTGCATGGGAAAATTATTTTCATTGTTTGAATCAGCAACATCCAACACACACATACACATTTCCAAACGATATGAAGCAAACTGACAAGAATCGCGGAAAAAATCTCTTCGCCGATACGTACAACAGAGAGAGAGAGAGAGAGAGAGATAAGTGCATAGAAATGTTTGCATTTAATTTACAACATGCAAAACTCTAAATACTTTATTTCATTATGTTGCGGAAAATCTATTTATGCACATTTATAATTCAGCATTATTGCTAAGTGCTAAGACATTTGCAGACAACAAAATCCACTCGATTTTTGTGTTGGTGTTTTTCTTCTAAATCGTGATAAAATTATAAACGTTCTCTGCCTTTTTCGGAAGCACGAATCTGAACCACAACAGAACACGGCAACCAACGAACGCGCACACCGAATGAATTTCGAAGGGAGCAACAAAAAATGCAACAATAAAATGATTTCATTTATTGAGCAACTACGGAATATAATTGTTTTAATAAACGATTTTTGTGTTTGTCTGTGAGAACATGATTAAATTCTACCTTTAATTTCTTTTGTATTGCCTGTTTTGGTGGTGGCTTTGTTGTGGCAGAATTTGCAGAATTATGATTAGAGAAACAAGATCGAGCGAGCAGAAAACGCAAAACAAAATTTTTTTTTGGCCATTAATTGCATCGAATGACGGGTGTGTGTGTATGTGAGAATGTTTGTTTTTCTGTTTGGTTGTCGTCCAAATAATATTACGATAAATATGCGGATTTTAAAGAATTTAATTAGCAAATAACCTGTTAATTTGTGCGGCTACAATAAACCAAGTCTTTGAATGCATTTCGCTTTCAAGAATTTATAATTATTCATCATTTTGAACACGAACAGACATATACGCATACACACATACATACACGTAAGGCTGTACACTCGATTATATCTGATGAAATCAAATCAATTAAAAAAAAATTAATTTGCACCAAACACAGAGAGATTGAGAAGAGAAAGAGGCTGAATTTAATCAAAAACACACACAACAACATAAACGATAATAATAAGGCCGAATAGAATGTATTGTACATAAAATAGCATCAAACAAAGTGCGCTTTCTTCATATTTTCAACTTTATGAATAAATATTTGTGTATCAGTCTATTTGTCATGTTTCTTTTTTTATTGTTCAATGTTCGTGTTTGAACAATATACTTACCATCTGAGTTTGATTTGAGTGCTTCTGCTTGAGCGGCCAATGCTTTGGTTCGCTCCAATAGTAGTTCTTGAAATTGTTTTGATTCCGATTGTACGTCCCCGGATCTGAAAAGATAAAAAAATTACAACAAAAATGTTTTTTTTTATCACTATTTATATATTTGCCGTTCGAATATCCTTTTTTTGATGGGTATGATTTTTTTTCTGGTTCGGACGGTTTTTTTTTCGGTACAATGAAAGTGATTGTGATTTTTACGACTGTAACAATCATAAAATGAAATCTTTTTTCGAATATGTTTTTATTGCAGAGAACACTAAGGTTCAGCCCTTGTTGAAGGCATCGAATAAGTCGGCAATTTTTGATGTTGATATCGTTTCGAAAAAAAAAAAATGTTTAAAAACCGACAAAGATGTAAATTGATGCAATGATTTGCTTTCAACGTTATATGATACATATTGTTGGCATCGGCACAATGAATCCGTTTAGGACCTGTTTTATCAATAGACGAACAAGTGCAATTTACATGTGATACGAAAATTTGTTTTTTTCCTTTCGTCTCGAAAGGACAAATGTTGATTTTGGATGGAAACTGTTTACGTGAATCAAGTGTTGCCCAACACATTCTCCACTATAAAAAATATGACAGAAATAGAGCGAAAGTGGCTCTTACCGATTTTCCGTTTTAACGTCATCGTAGTCGGATTGTTTGTCCAAACGTGATTCGAGTCTGGATATGTGTTGTCGTTTGGATTCAAGACGTTCTTCGAGCTGTTGTATCCGGAGATTGTGCGATTCCTGCAATGCGGCCAATGCGCTTCTCAGTCTAGAGATTTCTTCAACTAATGCTACAATCTGAAAATAAACAGGAAAAGAAATGACAATTCAATTATAAATTTGTTCAAAAAACAACAACAAGAAGAAAAACATGAACAGAGAACATTGTGTATTCTTCTTCGTTCAGAATTTCGTATCAATATTAGTTTATGCATGTATTTGTAAATAAAGTCATAATAAGAAAAGAAGGGATTGGAAGAATTTATTATATTTGAATGAGCGTCTAGAGCAATAGACAATTCATTATTGTTGACAGCGATAAAAATTCATCCGTTTTGACAAGAAGTTTAACGACCGACGATGTATTGCTTTGGTTTATTGGGTTCGGGAGAGCATCATCTGCATTGAAGCACATGCACGACAAGAAGCTTGTCTGCAATTTTGACAAGACGATGCCACAATATGGTATGATCTAAACAACATTGATTTCGACAAGCATTTCTTCACATTGTCGTCAACATTGCCGTCAATAGAGTTTGAAACGGATTGAGCGAACAATGATGGTTTGGAGAAAGAAAAACAATTTGCCATCAAAATCAATATCCATTAAATTGTCAAAATAATTAATAAAAACATCTTATATTTGCCAACACACAATTGCTATGCATCCGCGTATATCGGTTGGCTTCAGACAATGCTGCCGTATCTTCGACAGCATTGGTCTCGAGACATGTTGCCACACATAAAACCCAACAAAAACATAACCGTCTCAATTAATTATTCGATACACATTCACAGACTTCAATCATATTTTCGTTGAAAATTTTGCAAAAGCAAGATGAAAACAATGCACGCCACACCGTTTAATGCAGACAAATTTACAACAAAGACGCGCACTGATTCGATAAAATCCCGCATCTCTCACACACAAAAGGCACAGACAGCATCACATAAAACGACATATATAGATATAGATATAGATATATATTCAGTTTTTGAATGATTGGAAATGGCATGCTGGAGTGAACGAGAGGAAGAGAATGAGAAAATGCCACGTATTTGCACTTGTTTATATTTTTGGAAAACATCAAACTACAAGCGCAAAACCAAAACAATGAATTCGATACGGATTCGATTCATTAATTTTCCGTTCTCGTCTTTTAAAGCGACGATAAATCAAAATCGTTGTTTTCAGAATTTTGTGCTGTTGAGTGAGAGAGAGAGAGAGAGAGAGAGAGAGAGAGAGTACTGGGGCGTACTTCACATTCATTTTGACAAAACCAAAGTGATCATTCTTCGAATCTTATTTGCACCCCTATCAATCCGATATAAATAATAATAACCGACGATTTTGTATCTGCTTCAATCACAACCATCACATATAAATGGAATGGTTAAAAGCCGTCGCCGTCGTACATTTGCCACCGCCACGCCACTCGAAATGTAATCAATATAATTGTTAAAGTTACGGTGTGCTCGTCCGCCGAAAAATGAATTGGTAGCGATGCGCGCATATTCTCTCTCTCTTTCTTTATCAAACAAGTGCTAGAGTCGTATGTCGATGCCAAACTGCATACTACACACTCTCTCTTACCAACCACATCGAATTGAAAACGGAATTGTAATTATTATTTTGTGGGCAAATTTATCAAATATTGTATGGAAATCACAAAAGTGGCTCTCTTTTCAGTCATCAAAATCAGGTGCACAAATAAATGCTGGCTTCGCATTTCAGATAAGATATCATTTTAAATTTTGTATATATGAGTTGTGCGGTGGTTTTTTTTTCACTCTTGGTCGTCGCCATCAATTCATATAGTCTTCGGTTTTGGTATTGCCAATTCGACTAAAAACACGATATATGCTTTGGGGTTGTTTCGAACAAATGAACAAACGAAAAAAGTAAACCAATATTCAACAACACAGCATACACAAAAAAATAACCGAAAATAATTTCCAGTGGAAATGTATCCGTTCAATTATGAATGGCTTGTTTGATGACTTGACTATCACGTCTAGTAAAAGAGTTGAATACATTTTCCAAAGATACTTCATTTTGGTGTACGATGGTAATTATAACGAATATGGACACACAACCGATGAAACAAGGGATTTTTACAGAAAACTCGATCCAACTTAAATTCGGTTTTGGATGGCATTGTAGAGTCAAACAGGAACAATATATTTATTATTTCATTTATATTTTGTGTGTGTATGATTCACATTTTCAACATCGGACGTATTATGTGACGAGATGGTATGTATAAGGTTTCTTCTCTTAACTAATTTTGATTGGAAAAATATATCATGAATTTCCTCTTGAGCTATGAAAATATTTGTGTGCACACACACAAAATGCAGACATGAAATTCATGCTCAAACCCAAAATTTCGTGGTTCTCATCCTTAAGTGAACGGCGGCAAGCATATTGAGTACATATTCACTCATTTTCATTTTCATATGTTGTTGTTTATGCTACTGCTCGTATGTTGCACGACGACAAGCTCAGCATTTGCCAATACGTGGTAGCGCTGTTAAGCGTTTTTGTATTGTATTGAACCGGTTGCCGGTACGATGAGCATCCTAACGATCTTATTCAATTTACAAACAAACGGCGAAAAATGGAAAGAATACTTTCAGATGGATGCAAAAAGAAAACACATTCAAACAATTTTTTTTGCGGCAAGAATCGAAATTTATACGATTACTGAATGAATGAATACGAAAAAGATTGCCGATTCATCGCCGTAACAAAAAATACACACTCTCATGAATCGAATGATACACGTAAGCACATACATGAGCAGTTGAATATTCAAATGTTACCATTGCGGTGTACGTAAACATTAAAATAATAACCAAATTGCGATATGTGATGCAAAAAAGGGTGCAATTTGAAAAGAGAGAGTGGTGAAGACATTCGGTGAATTTTGCATACATTTTTGAATGAGGGGAGAAAGAAGACAGTCGAAGTACAACCATCAATTTCGTGTTTTTCCGTCTTTCGTATTTATTTTTTTGCACGGTTTTATCTCTTTTCATATTGTTGTTTTGGATTTCATATTCCTGCATAAGCCGTATCATCATAAAGCAATGACAGTAATGGAAGCACCTCGAGCACACCAACTCACAAAGATTTTCGAATTCAACATTCGTTCATAAAACATTTATAAACAACAATAGTCGAAACTGACAATAATATATCGCTAAAAGGCAAATTTCGGTATTGTTATGCAACGTCGGTTTGATGTCAATGTAAGCCAGTCGATTTAAAGTGAGAGTAAGAGTGTCTGCATGAGAAGTGATGGGATTGCGAGGGATCCACTGCCATGGGTATGTGACCAAAAAAATAAGCGTAACGGCATTGAATTTGACGGTTTATGGAAGAATGTGCCATTGAAAAATGAAGATATCAATGCGATCGACCGATTTGGCCATAGAGCGAATAATGACAAACGACAATGTCGAAGATTTTAAAGCGAAGATATGCGCATTTGTTATCAATGTGCGAGAGAGTGAGTGCGTGGAAACCGAATCGCCATGGAAAGTAATGTTCAAATGCTCATATTTATCGCAACATATTGATTTGAAATTATGGTAAATCAATAGTATTTTGTACGTACATCGGAGAGTGTGTGTATGTAATGAATGCGTTCAGGCCGAAAATGATTTCAATTAAGAGGCATTTTGAGGTTCAATGGTACAAATAATTTCGTGGTGTCACATTGCTATTTTCAGGCTGATTGCCTCTCGTTTGCTCGCTCTCTCTCTCACTCACTCACAGGATCCACTGTGAGCAATATTCGATTAGTATAAATCTTCTTGATTAATGAATTTATTTCAATTTTCAATTTTGATTTGGAAAATTGTAGAAGCCGTATTGAATTGCCGAACGATACTTGTGGATTTACAATTTGCGATGTTCCAACATACAGCACAATGTACACACAAAAGACGTTATCGATTACATATACGAGCATCGTCATATTTATCGTTTATATTATACAGAGAGAGATACTAGACACGAGACAAGGACGAGAAATATGAATGTAATGCGAGTACACATAGTGAGATTCTGAAAACGGGAACACGGCTGCTTCCGAAAATTGTTCAACATTGTGAATCGTTCATTATGAAATATTCTCTGGCATTATATCATTTTATCTTGCAATTCAACGACAGCATTGCTGTTTGGCTTTGTCCAACCACTATTACACGCACACACACATACAAAGAGAGAGAATGTGCATATGTATGGCAAATGGACGTCGTTAGATAGTGGAACAATTAATGAAACACATATAGGAATATATTCTTAAAGACATTTCAATTAACTTGAGATCGAAATCAAAATTGCATTGCACCAGAAGCGATGCTGATAATTTTGGCTTGCCATTTTCGTGCGCAAAATAATCGTCTCGCTGGATGGTGCAACTTTTGATGCAGGTTATTTGAGAAATAATACGGCAAAATCCAAAGCCATACACAAACACATTCAATCCGTATATGTGCAATATCAAGCGCCTTTAATTAAAATGAATTGATTTTGATTTCGGATTTGGGTTATCTAAATGCATATGACTAGCGATGATTATTTATTTGTCAGGAAATATTTCATATTTTGCTTGAGCGCAATGATTTTTGACTTGAAATATGCTTCTGATCTGACTAATATTCAACACAACCAGCAAGCAGGCGAGAGCGAGAGAGAGAGAGAGAGAGAGAGAGAGAACAGAATTTACAAAACGAGATTAGTAGCAGCGGACAGAGCAAGGATTTGAAATTCGATTAGTATTGATTTGTGTGCATCTATCATCATCGCATTGAATGAACGAGAGTGAGAATTGAAATCTTAAATTTGCATACTCAAACAATTACGGCACCCAACAAATGACCAAAAATGTGCGTAAATCTGGTTAAACGGTTAAACCGTATTGATTGATATCAAACATGTGTAGAGAGAAGAGAGAGAGAGCATTGCTGCTGGCTGATCAAACATTTGTTTTAAGGATGTTTTACAAGCATCCGAACAGACCAATCAAGCCGGCGTGTTTTGATGATACGATGCCGTTGTGTGT